AGTGCAGGCAATGCATAACTCTGTTTTCTTGTATTTCAAATCTGGTAGACCTCGAACCAGTTTCTTGTTTGAGATCTTTGAGATTTGTTTCATACTGATATGCCCCAATCTTCTATGCCATAAATCTTCATCCTCTTTGATTGAGATCAAGCAATGGGTGGAGATTGGATTGACATCTAGAAGATAGATATTGCCATGTCTTCTTCCTGTAAATGTTTGAGAAGAATCTTTGCTTGTCCCTGAGCATGTATCTTCTTGAAAATTGATTCTGAAACCTGTATCACATAGTTGGCTTATGCTTATCAAGTTGTAGTTGAGTCCTTTCACCAAAGAGACATCATTGATTGTAAGTCTTCCAATTTCAACTGTTCCTTTGCCAACAATTTTTCCTTTGGTATTTCCTCCAAAGGAGACTTTTCCACCATTGATTTGTGTAGATCGCGAATATACTTGGATCTCTGTCATATGTCTAGAGCATCCTTGTCTAGGTACCACTTCCTTTTTCTCTTTGTGGTAACCTGCAAAATCACAACATCTCAAGTTTTCTTTGGTACCCAAATTTGTTTGGGTCCTTGAGTATTAGTATACGCTGTCTTAACAAAATCTCTTCTAACAGGTCTCCAGACCTTATGACATTCATTCTCAAAATGTTGTGGATCTCCACATTTTGAGCACCTGAGTGCTCTTCGGCCAACAGGTTTTACAAAATTCCTTTTGAAATGATTTTTATAAGCTTGTCGAGGAGGTCTTTGTTTTAATCTCTCCTTGACCTTTGGAAAATCAATCAAGCTATCACTTTCCTTCACAAATCCGAGACCAGATTTGTTGTAGTAAGGAATTTGGATAGAAAGGATATGCTTCAAGGTTTCTGAACCCTTTGAAAATTTGGAAGTAATTTCTGAAACTTGCTTTTTCAAAACCGCATTTTCTTTGGAAAGAAAATCTCGACTTTCCTTGACTTGATGAAATTCTTTTTGAAGGAAATCGATTTTCTCTTTTTGTGAAACATCCTGTTGCCTCAGTGATGAATTTTCCTTTTTCAAAGAAGAGATGTATTTAAGAGCAGTCTTGAATTCATCAATGTAATTTGATACTTCAATAGGCATGTCAGAATGTTTTACCTCAATTTCCACTTTGGGATCAGAATCTGAATCTGAGTCTGAGTCTGACTTAGCCATTAGACAGAAATTTGAGATATCTTCATCACTGTCTTCACACTCTGTGTCACTCCAAGTTTCTGCTTTTAAGGCCTTCTTTGCTTTCTCAAACTTGGTCTTCTTTTTCAGAAGTGGACAATTTAGCTTGATATGTCCACGTTTCTTACAGTGAAAGCATATAACATCTTTCGATCTATCAGTGTCATCGAAAGATTTCTTCTTCTCAAAAGGCTTCTTACCTTTGAGGTTTCTTCCTTTGATCTTCATTTTCTTATACTTCTTTATAAAGAGAGCTAGTTCTTCATCATCAACGTCTTCATCTTCAGAATCTGCATCAGAATCAATGTTAGTCTTCAAAGCAATTGATTTATTACCTTTGGATTCAATCTCCTCATTCCGTTTCTCAGTCTCATATGATTGAAGAGTTCCAATTAACTCATTCACTGATAGAGGCTTGATCCTTTGTGTTTCTCGAAGAGATGTTTTGATGGTATCCCACTGATTTGTCAGTCCTCTCAGGAGTTTGTTGACTTTCATTGCATCCGGAACTGGTTGTCCTTGATAAGCAAGACCGTTTACTATATCAGTAAACCTGTCATACAAATCAGCAATAGATTCTCCAGGCTTCATTTTGAAAGATTCATATTGACCAAGCAAAAGATTGATTTGAGTTTCCTTGGCTCGATCTGTTCCTTCATAAGTGACAAGGAGAGTATCTGATTTCCTTAGGCTGATTCACAAGCAGCAATTTTTTATATTCAATAGGAGATAAAGCACAATAGAGAGAATAAATTGCTTTGGAATCTAAGGTTTCTCTTTTGGATATCTCGGTTTGAGATAATGGAGGATCTGTTGCTATGCTTGCTACGCCTTTTCTTTTGAACCGAGAAGATCTTGGATTGACTCCTCGATGATGACATCCCATTGCATGTGATCAATTGATTTTATGAATGCCTTCATCTTATTCTTCCAGACACTATATTCCTTGCCATCGAAATATGGTGGTCTGTTGTTGCTCTATCCTTCAATGAGCCCTGGAGCACCATAGCTAGCCATATAGATCGTTAGCTCAGAAGTAAAACACTTCAATAAATGAGCAACCTGCTCTGATACCAATTGATGTAGCTAGCAAGGATCACCTAGAGGGGGGTGAATAGGTGATCTAAAACAAGTTTTAATAATTTATGCGAGAACAAAATAAATCGCAGAAGAGTCGAATAAAATTCAGATTCAAGACAGATTATATGAGGCTGTGCTCTTGATGTGCGAGAATGTAAAGTAAGAGATAAGGGATAGAGAATCTGCACACAAGTTTATAGTGGTTCGGCTTATAGTAAGCCTACGTCCACTCTCCCACGCTTACTGACCTCTTGGTGGATTTCACTATGTAATCAAGAGGAATTACAACTTCGAATGTCAATACTCTTGTGTATGATAGGACTCTCTATCTCACACAATCACTCTTACAAAGTATCCCTCAAGATCTTAATGTTTTGCTCGAACGACAAGAGAAATGATTGGAGTATGCTCGGACTTTGGACTTGTTGATTCTTGATTCGTACTTCCTTGCTGCTCGTTGATCTCCTTAAATACTCCTCTACTTCCAAACTAGCCGTTGGACGGCTTTGGAGGATCATCTTCCAATCTTCACATTGTACTGATTTGTATAGAAAGGATTGAGTAGCCGTTGGATACAGTTCGAATCCCGCTGATTCAGTCGCCCATACAATCGAATCTTGGTTTCCATAAGTAGAGATATGTCCGTTGTAATGCATTCTGTCGTGATGTTTGATTGTCAATCAATTTGATTAAGATTGAGACAATCGAACATTCCTCGTGAAATCCATGCCGGATCACTAGCTGTTGTGTTATGTTACGAATCTGCGTCGAAGAAATTGCCGTACGTATCGAAGAACTTCTTGCGTCTGCGTCCGAATAATTTCTTCGTCCGCATCCGCATCCGAATAACTTCGCTTACGCATTTGAATAACTTCTGCGTCGAATCTCGAACTTCGATTATGTGGGTCTTCATAACCATACTTGTGATTGTAAAGTCTCGAATAACTTTCTTCTTATCTTCCAGAATATACAGTCCTGGAATAAAATTGTTCAGAATAAGTATCAGATTTACAATAACATAGAAGGTTTTGTCATCTTCAAAATCAATAGGAGTTTTCCTCAACACATCTTAGCTCGGACATCCAGTCCCTTGAGCAAGACATGCATAATACTTTGGGTACAACGACTGGTTTCGGTCTGACATCATCAAAAGAGCGGTATTAGCTCCCGACCAGTTTGTGCACGGCAGGCCAACCCCCGCCTTCAGAGCTCCTAAGGGTACATTCATTCTAAAATAGAATTCTTAGCACAAATCACCATAACGCTATTCCTACGAACTAGTTGTATCATCTCCTCTAAATTACTCACTCTTCATCTCGTAGGACCAAGCTTCACTCACAAGGGTACAGAGCACATGAGAATCACGGTTCGTGACATTCTCCCCCACTCAATTCCGCAACGCTCTCGTTGTGGGCTATTCTATCGCTTCCCTGCATTCTTAACCATTAATGCGCCACTCCGGGTCATACATTGAATAGTCTTCAACCATTGATGTGCCACTCTAGGTCGTGCATCAAATGGCAACACTCGTCCAACTGAACAGGCCACTACACTCCATTGATGGCTTCTTTCGATCAAAGTTGTTTGGGCATCCCCGGTCACTTGTGCTTTTCTTGACAATTATGGCATTTTTCGCCAACTGTACATTTTGGCAGCACCCTCTTTCACCTACTAAGCTTCTCCTGATCTCAACAGACCAATGGAGGTTTCTACCTTTATTGATAACGTCGTAGCAGACTCATCTTGAGATTCGCCAAATTGATCCAAGAACTTTTCCCTATTCAGTAAGGAATCGGCTCTTTCCTCCGCCCCTATTGTCATCCCAGAATCATGTTGAAAGCCGCACTTTGTTCGAGCACGTTTTGCCTCGACAATTCACTCTCCGCCCTTGTAGGATTGGGTAGACCATTGGTTTTCTCTAAGTCTAACTCACCAACTGGGGGATTCTTACTCCAATACCATCCGTCACGGGTCGGCAATTCCTTGGCTGCGGAATAACCCATGCAACACCTGGCGAGTTGAGAAGACCCCAGGCCAGCCTTCATTCTATAGTTGTTCCTAATAAAGAGTACGGTGAATAGTATCCTCGTATCGGATCGTACTACGCCCAGCTTAGCTCAAGCATCCAGTCCCTCGAGCAAGACACGCATAACACTTTAGGAATAGGAATTGGTTTCAGCTTGCCATGATCTCATCAGAAGAGCGGTATTAGCTCCCGATCAGTTTGTACACGGGAGGCCAACCCCGCTTTCAGAACTCCTAAGAGTATATTCATTCTAACTTAGAAATCCTTGGACAAACCACCCTGACACTTGGATATAAGATGCTGCATTACTTTGCAATCAAGTTTCCTATTACATTGTACTACAAAATAGAAAATTTTATCCTCTATGGAATAAATGCATTTGCACAAATTAAAATTTGTACTCATGTTAGTACAAGTAGACCTGATCAACGAGTGAGTGGCTAACGATAGGTGGGCTTGGTTAGATTTTTAGGTTCCTTGGGCGGGCCTGGGCAATATATTCTTGCCAGACCAGTGGGTAGTAGGCCTAGGAAAGAGCCTTGCGGCCTGGCCTAGGCCTATATTTATTAAAAAATTTAAAAAATTATGTCATATTAATAATTCAAACTCTATATTTAAATTTGAAACACAAATAAGATAAAAATCAGATCACTTTTTTTATTGTAGGACAGAGAAAGTATGGGACTCGTCTAATGATGTTTACGTAAAGGGTATCTTGACATTAATAATGAACCTAAGATAGAAGAATGAACACCCATCTCCACTCTCGTAATTCACATTCAACACATTCTGCTTTGTTCATCGTTCAAACTTAAAATCTCCACTGAACTAAGGACCAAGAGAAGTGCAATGACTTTTTGGGCACGTCACTTCTTTCTTACGGGGGAAGAACCGGAATGCTCTGCTCATTTCTGAAGAAGTTACCGGGATCGACTTTGGTCTTTATCTCCACCAACCTGTTGAAATTGCCTTTGAAGTACTTGACCCCGTACACTTTCCCTTCCTCATAGCTCTCATTTCCATTGTGGTTGACCCCCAAATCAAGGTCCCTGTAATTCAAGAACGCTGCTCTCGGGTTCTTCGACACAAAGGGCGTCATGTAACCATAGAGCTTCCTCGTCAGCTCAATGTAGTGTCGTGCCGCTTCATCCCCGTACTCGTGCCAATTCGTCGCGTACTGGACCTTCCATAGGTTCCTGGCTCTATGCGGAAATGGGGTCTTGGTCGTGGGAATCTTGCCCATCTGGCCACCGTAAGGGTTGAAGGTCAAAGTCAGCCTTTCAAGCTCGATCATCCTCTTCCAAATGAGCTGCAATCCGTCCTTCGATATGATTTGCTTCACATAGTCGGATTTTCTCTTCAAATGCATCAAGCGTTGCGGCGCACGTGAAAGCAAAGCATCGACTGGAGTCCCAATCGAGAAATTCATCCAGTAAAGCGTGGAGTTGACCCAACTCATTTCGATGCAATCCGAACTTCGCAAGCCTAGCTCGGGAAAACTATCGCTCATCAAGGAAAGAAGCCTTCGAGTGTCTCCAAGGAAAAGCGCGACAAACGTGGCTCTTACTGTTTTCTCTCTGGCGTTTTTTCCGGTAACCACGTCCATGACCAGCCTTATGAAGAGGTCCTCATGCAGCTTGTGCGCCACTTGTTCCCACTTGTACACGACCTCGGTCGCGTTTTGCTCCCACGTCCTATGGATGCGGAAGACAGTCACCATCTCGGGCACATGGACAAGGTTGATCTTGTACGCGAGGATGACGCCAAAGCTCGCTCCGCCGCCTCCTCTTATGGCCCAAAAGAGGTCTTCTCCCACGGATTCCCTATCCAGAATTTCGCCCTTGGCGTTGATTATGGACGCGTCGACTATGTTGTCAACGGAGAGCCCAAACTTCCTCATCATGTTGCCATAGCCGCCACCACTGAAGTGGCCACCGACGCCCACCATGGAGCAAACCCCAGCAGGGAAGCCATGGACCTTGCTCTTCGCAGCGATCCCATAGTAGACCTCGCCAAGGATGGCCCCTGCCTGGACCCATGCGGTCTCGGCCTCAATGTCAACGTCGACTGAGCGGAAATTGAACATGTCAAGGATGAAGAAAGGCGAGGAGATGGAGAAGTAGGATATGCCCTCGAAGTCATGGCCTCCGCTTCGGATCTTCATCTGGACCGAGAGCTTTTGGGCGCAAACAATGGCTGCTTGCACGTGAGACTCATGGAGTGCTGTGAGGATGAGAGTGGGTTTTGGCGTGTCAGAGGCATTGAACCGCAGGTTCCGTATGTAAGATTGAAGAACGGTTGAGTAAGAAGAGTTTTCGGGTGTGTATATGGCTGAGATTATTGGGTGCGAAGCATGGGAATGGCTTATGAGGCATTGAGATAGGGTTTCGTTTGCAAAGGCTTTAGAAGGTGAAGCAAATGAAGCTATGAACAACACTTGGAGTGAAAAGAGGGAGAGGGTTTTGGTGTATGGAAATGAAGTTCCCATTTCAGGCTTTGGTTAAAATAATTTTGCTGGGTGAGATATTTAGTTCTACATGTTGGCCTTTAGGGGAGTTCTCATCCTCACAATTTTGAGAGGCTTATTCCAAAAAAAGCACCAACTTTATCTTGAAGGACAATTCTGGCCCGAACTTTTTTTTGTCTAAACAAAAAGAACCAACTTTTACTCGAATTCCAAATCTGGCTCTCGTGGTGTAAATTTTCAAACTGTTCGGGTCAGATTTGGGATTTAAGTGAAAGTTAGTGAGTTTTTATGATACATGAAAAAAGTTTGAGCAAGAATTATCACTCAAGGTAAAGTTGGCGCTTTTTTGTTTAAATTGGGCCTAATTTTGTGGTCAAAACCTTGAAAATATATTTCACACGGGCATTAGGTCCTGGACTAGGCCTCAATAGACCCGGGCTCGGCCTCTATGGACTCAAGCCTGGACACGGGCACTAGTGACCCGAGCACCGACGTCAGGTTCTCGGTCCCGACCTATAAACCCTATTTGGATGCTAGGGACCTAGGCACGGGCACTAGGCTCACTGTCTTGGCCTCAATGGACCAGGTCTTGGATGCCAAGGACCCGGAAATGAGTGTTAGAGTTTCCATCCCTGAGCGTAGAGTTTTTTATCCAAGCGCCGATATCTAGTCATATTTTGGAAAATGATTTCCGGTTTTTCATTAAAAAATCATTTTCTATTGACTCATTTTCCTAGGCGATCCAAATGCCAGAAAATGTTTTTGTGAAAAATGTTTTCCAAGAAACAAACGAAGCCTTTAATCTAGTCTTATTTTGCCTTTTCTAGAATCCATATGCATGAGCACAGTGGCGCATAGAACACTCTACAAGTCTCACGAATTAGTTAAGTTTGAATTTGTGGCCTGTGGAGGTAGCTCTACCATTAAGTTGTTGCATGTTGTCGATAGAATTTGAACACGTAACTTCCAGTTCCTATATTGAATTCTCCTAATGCCCAAACTACGTGCGTAAATGTAATGGGTTATCGTCCCCATATTATCCTTAATAGTTCTAGTTTCTGTTTCTCATTTTAACCTCACTTCCCAACCGTCGATCCAGTTTGGCAAGAGCATGATCCCACGCTTGGTATGTATGGCTCAGTCTCTGGTGCATTTTTCGAACGCCAACCTAGAGGTCCATATTTGATGCCAAAACAGTCACATACCCAAAAAGACAGAGACATAGGAACACAAAGAGGACATAAAATTTATTATGGTACCGACTCAATTCTGTACATATATTGGGTCGCTGGAATATTTCTGTAGGATTAACATATTATGTTTCCTGTTTTGTTTTGTTTTGCTTTGTTTTCTTCTCTTTTCGTCCTTTCCTAAATGACCGCTTATTGGATACCTGGCTTAGTTTGGATTTTTGTCTCTTGCCAGGTTTCTATTGCCGGTGTCGATGAAGTTAGAAAAGATGGAATATGATTTCTCTATGTTCAGTTGTGTAGATTGAAGGTGGTACTTTTCACGGACAATAGATGCGTTTATTTATTGCTAAAATATATTGTCTCATCCGCTCTTATTAAATGATAATCATAGATTGATGTCCTATGCTGACAATGTTAATCATTGCAGTAATATATCCAACTCTAGCCTCCCCTCCCCTCCCCTCAAACTCAAAGTGACGTGGAACCGATCAACTTGCCTATTAAGTATCATCAGGGCCACCCGAGGGATGAGCTTTTGTGTTGACAGTCTTTTCTTGGTTACGCTTTCGCTTCGATAATCACTGGACCGGACACTACAAATAGTTGTAACGTAACATTTGAAAGTTATTATGCGATGCCAGCAATAAGTGTCTTGAGTTTCTTAAATTATTGCGACACTTTTTTTGTAGCCTTCAATAGGGGATAAGCACAGCAGGAGTGCCACAACTTTCGCATGGTGTTCACTTGAGGGTAACTTTTTATTTTTCGCTTACATAAGTACCATATTGGAGTAAAATCAATCATTTGAGTGCCACTTCCGACAAATCATCCTACATGAAATTTTTTGTATTTATTTAAAAAATTGATTTTTATATATTATATTTTGATTTTTTATTTTCCTTTTCTTCGTGCGTCGGCCGTAACGGCCTCGCCCTTGGCCAGAGGTGCCGTGAAGGCCTTGGGCAAGGTAGTCATGGCCTCCTAGGGCCATCGCACCCTCGCCTTTGCCCGCGGCTAGCAAGGCTGCCGGTGGATTTTCCAACGAGGCATATTGTCTGTTGATACCTAAATTTTGGCTAGCCATATAGTAATTATTACATATAAAATTAGGGATTATTATTTAACCCCTAAACAAAAATATTAAAATTAAATTGGATAACATATAAATTTTTAGGAGCATATAGTTTAATTCATTAATTGCATCTTAATTTGGATCGGTGGCGGACAGATTCAAGTGAATGGTTTTGAGTTTAGATGAATTAGTTGGACTGAACCCATGAAGGAGTAAGATTCGGCAAGCCCATGCACTGGGCGAAATTCATAGAGAGAAGAGGGCCTTGTTGAGCTTTGATTAATAGAAATTTAGCACATTTTGAGTTTAATTAATAAAAGGCCTTGAACTTAAAGCTAATAGAGCCAAATTAATGAGGCTTCAAATCAAGCCTTTTACTGATTAAATCTAACGTTTTTGCTATAAATATGGGCAAAAGTACACCAGAAGTGCAATAACTTGTGTACGGCGATCACTTTGGTGCCATAACTTTTTTTCGGATCACTTTGGTGCCAAGTCGGAGGAAAAGAGATCACTTTAGTGCCAATTTAGTCGGAAATCCGACGTGGCATTTTTTATTAATTTTTGACGCCTACGTGGCTCGCCGGAGGATAAATCAGCGTGTACAGTAAGCATTTTTTATTTTAAATATTTTTTTCCAGCGTGTACAGTCAGCATTTTTAATTTTAAATAATTTTTTTCCTTTTTTTTTTTTCCTCTTCTTTCCTTTTTCTTTTCTTTTCTTTTTTTGTTTTCTCCCCTCGCCGGACGGCCATCGGCGAAGCCTGGGAAGGGCTGGGCGAGGGCGGCCTTGCCCATGGCCGGCGAGGGGAGGCCTCGCCGGCGACAGGTGAGGCTGCCCCTCGCCGGCCCAGGCGAGGGCTGCCCTCGCCGGATCTGGCAAGGGCAACCCTTGCTGTCGGCGTGGACGACCCTCGCCCGACGCCGGCGAGGGTCGCCGATGCCGGCGAGGGTCGCCTCGCCTGAGTCGAGCGTGTGCGACCCTCGCCCGCCCGAGGCAAGGGCTTCCCTCGCCCGACGCCGGATCCTGCGCGGGCGACCCTCGCCGGCGTCGGGCGAGGTCACCACGCCCGACTCAGCGAAGGCGACCCTCGCCGGCGTCGAGCGAGGTCGTCCACCCCCGACAACGAGGGTCGCCTCGCGAGATCTGGCGAGGGCAGCCTCGCCTGGGCCGGCGAGGCGAGGCCGCCCTCGCCGGCCCGGGCGAGGGCAACCCTCACTGTCGGGCGTGGATGACCCTCGCCCGCGCCGGCGAGGGTCGCCCTCGCGAGTCAGGCGTGGGCAACCTCGCTTGGACCGGCGAGGGGAGGCCTCGCCGGCGACAGGCGAGGCCGCCCTCGCCGGCCCATGCAAGGGCTGCCCTCGCCGGATCCCGGCGAGGGCGACCCTCGGCCTGTCGGGCATGGACGACCCTCGCCCGACACCGGCGAGGGTCGCCTCGCCCTGAGTCGAGCGTGGGCGACCCTCGCCCGCCCAGGCAAGGGCTTCCCTCGCCCGACGCCGGATCCGGCGAGGGTCGCCCTCGCCCGAGTCGGGCGTGGGCAACCCTCGCCGGCATCGGGCGAGGCAACCCACGCCCGACTCGGGCGAGGCGACCTCGCCCGCCGGGCGAGGGCTTCCCTCGCCCGACGCCGGCGAGGGTCGCCTTCGCCTAGGTCGGCGAGGGGCGGCCACGCCTGTCGCTGGCGAGGTCGCCCCTCGCCGGCCATGGGCAACGCCGCCCTCGCCCAGCCCTTCCCGGGCTTCGCCAGTGGCCGGCAATTGGCCGGCGAGAGGAGAAAAGAAAAAAAAGAAAAGAAAAGAAAAAGGAAAGAAGAGGAAAAAAAGGAAAAAAATTATTTAAAATTAAAAATGCTGACTGTACACGCTGACTTATCCTCCGGCGAGCCACGTAGGCGTCAAAAATTAATAAAAAATGCCACGTCGAATTTCCGGCCAAATTGACACTAAAGTGATCTCTTTTCCTCCGACTTGGCACCAAATTGATCCGAAAAAAAGTTATGGCACCAAAGTGATCGCCGTATACAAGTTATGGCACTTCTTGTGTACTTTTGCCTATAAATATGTCATAATCCTCACAAGTCAAAGAGGAGGCCATACAATTTCATACACGGCCATAGAGAGGGAGAGGAAAAAGCATCAGAGAAGAAGACGAAGAAAGAACGAAAGAGAAGGAGATCTCTCTGTTGCTTCTGGTTAATACTATACACTCAAGGGAAAGAACACAATGGGGACGAAGACGTGAACATTGAGAAGGTATCCGCAAGGATATACGGAGACATAGACGCTCACCATACCCTAGAGAGAACACGGTTGCTTTGGTCGTTGCTGTGTCCGTGCCATCACCACCTTGTTCTATCACAGAACACAATCGAGTTTTGTCTTGATCTTTTTGTTGCAGGTTTTCTTAAGGTTCGGCATGTTAGAAATTAAACCAAATTCATTGGAAGTTGCCAATTCATTAACCAAGTTACCAAAGGCCGTTCGAATTCCAAGACTGGTGTTCAAGAAGAGTCTTTATTATAGTGTTGTTTTCAAAGAGTCTGTTCGTATTTCTATGTCTTGACTGTTCGTGTTTTTAGGTCTAGTTAATGTTGTGTAAATTCTTAGGAACCTATCTCATTAGAATAGTAGATACATTTATGAGTCATTTAAGAGTAAGTCTAAGAGTCATGTATCTAGTCTATAAATCAACGTGACTTGTAATTGTTTCTGATATGGTGAAATAAAGAAAGCAGAGAAGTCTATTCATCTCCTTCTCCTCCCTG